GATTGAACTTGTCTTTCATTGCATAAAAACGATGTAATGTTAGTGTCGCATTATTTTCTGGACAACCCAATATATTAGGCGCAAGAGCCACGGAATGAGAACATCTGTCCCGAAAACTGTTAGTCAAAATCAACTAGGTTTCATCAACCAATATTGAGCTTTTGTTTTCGTATGGACTCATAATTCTGCACTTCATGTCGTCGCTTTCAAGCCAAATTTTATAGCGAAAAAAAAGAAAGGGTACTTTATTTCGAGTACCTTTGGGTGCAAGTTGATCCGCTTGTCTTTCTGAAATGTTTTCTTGAAACGGGTAGAGTAGTAGATTAAGAAGCATTCTTTGAGAACGAAGAACCTGGATCAGCATAGTTCATTTCCCATTTATATATGATATAGTTTCAACAAAACTGACCTCTTTGACCACGTTGCTGGACGGTTCTTCTTCTTGTATTTTTTCCAAAGGGTGCCATAACATTGAACGCCAAGAATAGGTCCCAATTCCTCGCTCGTCAACTCTTCAGGTGTCATATCATAGTGATTGTCCTTCCTCTTGCCAAGGTTGGAAAACTGAAGGAGGCAGCGGAGCGATCTAGTTGTTTGACGAAGATGTCACATTATCTTGCACTCATTTCAGCTTAGTGTGACATGAGTGTGACATGAGAAAACTAAATTCATTCACAACTTCCTAGAATTCGGAAAAGAGAGTCACTGCACCTGCAAGAGATAAAGATTCAATGGAAAGCGCCGAGTGGTATGAGCTAGGCCGTGTCTGCACTTTGGAAAACCCTGTGCTCAAACCCGAGAATCTAAATGGTGTGATCATAGCAGTAGGAAAGTCCTATGAGGGCCCTGCTTCCGCTGTCAACATCAAAACATGTGAGGATAGACGCAAAAAATGGGTACTGGGCAATTATTGTACATAGGCACCGCAAGCCGGCTGCTCCGTGTATTGAGCTCAACACTTGAAGGGGACTATCAAGCGATAGGGGGTAATCGGAGTGGTCACGTTATCAGTGAATGAAGTGATTTAGAACGAATCCGCGGAGGCAGAAGAAGAGGTCAGGAACGAAAAACGAGAAGGGGTACACGACCTGACATTCTGCAACTTTTTTCCACAAAAGGTTCAATTTTTGAAATTCCGAGATTTTTGAAATTCGATTCAACAGATCTGCAGCAACTATTATATGTGAAACTCAACCTACGGTGTACAGAGAAACACTGGGAGAGAGAAGGATATTGAGGAAGCAACGAAGCGTGGTTTCAACATTAAGTCTACCGAGTTGTGAGGCAAGCGAGCAAATGGAGCTCACAAGCATTGGCATAAGACACGGGACCTAGTTGCCTGTGAAAGGAGCTGTCTAGACAACCTTTACGAGGCTTATCAATGCTGCTATACTGAAGCAAAGATTACGGAAATGGGCGTTTTGCCGGAGAGGGTCGACGGTCGAGAAGGGGTCGAGTTTATCTTCAGGCTGGCTAAAGCGTGGCGCCGGTCTACTTAAGTTGGAATAGAAAGGGCAAAAAAAGAGAGAGGTGTCATTTGAGGAAGCTTGGCAAGATTAGGCACAGGTGGAAAAAATACTTCGACATCCTCTTGAACGGAGGATCCCACTATGTAACCACTTTTCGTGAAATCAGGTTGACTGCGCGCACGATGAAATTGTTGTTGGTCAAACAGAATTGAGGGAGCTTGTCCGATCAATATAAAGCTTTTTGGCTTCATGCTAGGAATGTCTACAACAGATATCATCTTCGAAGCCAGAAAAATAAGGCAGAACTTTTGAGAAAAGTAAAGCGTAGACGATCTATCTAGCCTTCCTCNNTGGTCAAACAGAATTGAGGGAGCTTGTCCGATCAATATGAAGCTTTTTGGCTTCATGCTAGGAATGTCTACGACAGATATCATCTTCGAAGCCAGAAAAATAAGGCAGAACTTTCGAGAAAAGTAAAGCGTAGACGATCTATCTAGCCTTCCTCGGTCTGGAAAAACTGACTGCCTTCCAGCACCAGTCCACTAGAGAACGCTCAGAGGAGGAAACGTTAGGAAAAGTCTGACTCTGGTCAAGGTAGTCTGAAAGGTTCGAGATGTAATAGGCACTCTTCACGACGTAAGAAAAACAATAAGAGTTACGGTCGAAGTACAACGGGGATCAGCTCTGGGCTTGTTCCTGTTCCTGCTCACAATGGATGTCATCATAAAAAGGCTACTGGATGAACTACTGAAGACCATTCTTAACACTGTTAACGGAGCTTTACTAGCGGAGATTCGAGAAGAGCCATGCAGCGAACTTTTTGAATTCACGTTTTGCTAATTGCTGTTATATCGCCGCAGTACGCTATGCGAAAGTCTCACAAGGATGACGATTCATGGACAAAACTTCATTCTCGGACGGGACTCGAACCCGTACTTGTGCTTTCCGGGCACACACTGCCAGAGCAGCAGAAATTCTAGTAAAGGGCGGGCTAAAAAAGATGGGATTATTAAGCTCGGTGTACCGCGCGCGGTCAATAACAGATTGCTTTAGTCGAGTTATCAAAAACGTGCAGATCTCCTGATATCTGGAGGCGATTTGGTCTGACGGTAACGTGGACTAGTCTATAAAGGTTCATTCGAATTCAGTAGAGATAAGTAGTTCACCGGTTTCATATGCGAAAGACGGTGCTCCTGATTCTCATAGGAAATTATGCAAACAGTAGTGAAGAACAGACGATCTACGACTGCGAAACGCCTATCTGTGGATGCCAAAGGGATTTCTCTTTGACACGTACAAGCTTTCAGTGTCCACTCGTCCCATTCTCTACTTTCTCAATGCTTTTGTCTCGCCTGACTTAACTGCGTATTTACTGATTCCTTCATGATCACTTCGTTGCATCTAACTAGAATTTCTATGAAAATTAATCAATACCTGGAATGAAAGGCTCCGCAAGATGCCCTTCTTCTCCTTTGGTTCCTTAGGCAAAGCCATAGTTGGTGCTGGACGCTTTTTTTCCATCTTCGATATCGATGAATGTGGTTTGTCAGTCATTCGAACTGTTTCTTTCTGAGGGTAGAAATTTTCAATCAAAGCTGTGGCATCGTTATTCTTTTTCACGGTAATCGGCTTTTTTTTTCTCAGCGTTTTTTTATAATAATACGTCCAAGAAGCGATTGTCCCTAGACCCTGGGCCTCAAGAGCTCTCCATTATAGGGGTTCAAGCACATAATTAATAAGTTAAAAGCAAGGAAGTGCAGCGGTCAAAGATTATTCCGAAAGTGTTATGATTTCGAGAGCAAATTTCAAATTAAATCCTGCACAGAACAAGGAGTGTTTTGTGTGGAGGGAACTCGGTTGCTATCTGAGTAAATTTGAAAATTGAAAATCAGATGGATGGCGCATTACTGAAATGGATGCCACAACACAAAGCATTTTGTTCTTCTTATTTATTTTGATATCATGATAGGGCGTAAATGGTGTAGTGGAAAGTGGCGCACTACGTCACACGCACGATCTGGAGTTCGGATCCGGATCGATGCCCGCCTAGGCCAGCGAAGCCTTCCATCCCTCCGGGGTCGGTGAATTAGTACCAGACTCGTCTGGAGGATAAAAGCACTGACTTGCACATCGGCTGGCTCCCGCGAGTAACGGTATAGGCCACATACGTACTCATTACGCCACTACGATTCTGAATGGAAGTCGAGTGCGGGGGCGCATCCCTCAGACGGGATTGATTAACGCCAAAAAGTTTATCCTTTATGATAATAGGTCATCTATTTCAAAAAGCCGCAGACACTTGAAGGGGTCTGGACCCGTCAACATCGTTTCGTTCGGAAACTATTACAATTAGCTATGTCATTGCTTAATTTCGTCATCTTGGCTGCTGGAAAAAAATCATTTCAAGGCTGAAATGAAACATGAGCAGTCAAACTCAACGCGAAATTTCCTGAATGGGGTGTTGTAAAAAGAAAGCTCCCTGACGATATTCGCCTGAGTTGTATCTTCATTTCCAAGGCACTCTGGGGCTAATGTCGATGAATGGGTGCTGATGTCCAAGGAAAGGAAGAAACAAGAAAATTTTGAGATGGTGCCTCAATGTCTGGCCGCTTGAGAGGGTAGATAAATTTGATGAGTTGAATGATGGAGTGCAAAATCTGGACCTTTACGGAATTTCCCAAAGAGAACACAACTGCTTAGACCGTTGACCGAAATGCGCCTTAAAGAATTGGAGACGGTCAGGAGAGTGGTGAATAGATTCCTCAGTTTCTTACACAAGCAGAAATAAACAGCCGGAATGTCACCTGCAGAAGCAATCGCCTCGCCCACCTGAGACATTCGTCACCTTCGAAACGGATGTTGGATATATAAATATATATGAATCAACGTGGGTTGCACGCTGAGCCAAACTTTACGCGAGCAAATGGATGATGGCACACAGTCACGAGATTATCAAATATACCAATACTAAGCAGCTCGATATGCGCGCAGTTTTCTGAAGAAAAAGTATAAAAATGTTGATTCTACGCCATAATTTGCACGGCCTTGAGCTGTGAGAGCTCAACTGCTCGGGAAAAGTGAAGGCACGTGTCATTGGCAATCGCTTTCTCAACTTTTCAGTTACCGAAGCAGATCTGACTAGTATCTTACCCGCACTCGAAGAAAAATAGCTGTCTGTTACCGGGATTCCACTTGGGTGTTGGCAATGGTCGCTGCCAATGATGGGAACTACTGAACTGAACGCTGAGGTGTTAGCTTCTATCTCCCTTGCTGCGCATTTCATCAAAAATGCTCGCGAACTTTGACGAGTGAAGTGCTTATTGTCTGTATAAAAGATGGTCTTTCATCGCTAGAGCTGGCTGTCTGTGCGCTACTTATTCTTTCAGTACTATGTGCTCACATTTCGTTCCTTACCTAGCAAATTATGCCTATCTACTTCTAAGTTTGTCATAGCATGACGATCGTTGATCCTGGGTGTTTCAAAAGGCCCAATCACTTCAAAGTAATAACTAAGTATATGTAAAGCCACCGATATTTACTGACTTCGCTGCGTATTATTGAGAAAGCTCCAAATCTTACCCAAGGAGCTTGGCCCAGCGGAATTTTAACACTTCTAGAATTCAAAATCTGTCTCGATTTTGAGAACTAAATAGAGGTTCTCAAAAAGTGTCGTCATCACGAGGAACTCGTCCATATCAACAAGTTATGCCCATCAGCTTATCACAGAGAAATGCTATTTTGAGCTTCTCATTATGGAACTGCACTTTGGATTGTTCTTTTGCTGTGGGCTCAATTTTCTTATCCCTTCTTTACTCTTTCTTGAAATGGCTGCAGTTCTATCAATAATCCTACCTTGGCACTTAGGAAATCTGGCCTATTTTTCTGAAACGGTTAGGTGTACCATCTGACGTAATTTTTTTTGAAAGGGGCAAAATCGGTTTTGAAGTTGATTCTGGACAATGGTGGGACTGTGTCTTCTGAGAAGAGCTTGCCATGGTGGCGTGATGGCTAATTACGATGCCTAGTGAACGACACGGATAGTTTGATTTACGTTGA